TCAGATATAATAGGGTTCTCCATCTCCAAGAATGTACAGGCTCTAGGAATTTTGCTAGGCATGCTAAAACAAGCTAATTTGCCTAAACAAAGTAGAGACTGGTTATGCTACCTGGAAGAGGCTCAGAGAAACTGAACTTCTTGAAAAGGATACTCTCCAAAACATTCTACTGTCGGCAGGCTGTCAAGGGTGCTGCAGATTTCTAGCTATTGTGAGCTGCGCCTCATTTTGGCATGAACTGGTAACATAATACAATCCATAGTATTAGCAAAAAAGTTACTAAAAGTTTCAGTAGTAATGTTTTCTGCAATTATATTACTGTATTGATTTCTTAATAAAATATTTACCTGGTACAAGGTCCAGCAAATTGTTTTAGGTGTAATAATCTTTATTATCCAGCATGTGTTGTGGTTGCAGAGTCCCAAGTAGCGGTGCAACCTGGTGCCAGAACAGTCCTGAGCTGCTGTGACTTTCTCATCTAGGTACTGGTTAAATACTGAGAATATGCTTTGCTTGACAAATTAAAAGCAATTAAATCAATTCCGTACATGGTGCAAAAAGCCCAGAACTCATAGGCAGCAAGCCCAAACTGGAAGCTGTGCAAGTCACCATGTGGCAGGGAACCTAGCAGGCAGCAGGGGAGTGGAGGCTTGGGATGTGCGTGTGCTTGGGAAATTTCCAAGTCGATGCGTGCAGTTAGCTCTGCTGTGGCGTGATTCTACAAAAAAAAAAAACACTTAGGTGAAAGGAAGCCAAATGGGTGGGGTTGGGAAACTTTTTGGGCTGTGGGCCTAGGCCTTTAAGCTGGTACACTTGGTAGGTATGGAGTCTGGATCCACGTGGGCGCCAGATGAAGGACACTATAAAAGAAATCCCACACTAACTCAGAATTGAATATAACAAAAGGTTATTTATTTAGGGGTAGGCTCAGAGATCACAATCCTCTTCTTGAATGAGGAACAGCAACTAAATTCAGCAGCCGGGAAAGAGGCTGGACGTGAGCTTTACATTGGCATATATATAGTATAAGAGGCCACGCTCAAGCGGGATGGTAACTTTGGTGTGGGAGAATTGTCTGTATTCTGTCAATCATATTTTAATAAAACGCTGATTGGCCAGGCAGGCAGTATAGGCGGGAAAGCCAGACAGGAAGTAGGGGTGGAGCAAAGAGACTGGGAGTATTCTGGAAGCAGAAGCTCCCTCAGCCACTAATGTGTAGACCACCGAAGAGGCAGCATGTAACTTGCCCAGCTGAGAAAGGTATGGAGCCATGTGCTAATGTAGATAATGGTAATGGATTAATGTAAGTTATAAGAACTAATAAGTAGCTAGAGCTAAGGGCCAATCAGTTTATAATCTTATGGAGTCCTGTGTGTGATTTTCCTTTGGGGCTTGCCGGTTGTGGGGTACTGGGCGGGCCAGATACCCCAACAAGCCGGCCCCCTCATGTTACAAATGGTGCCCAGACGTGGATAACTGAATCCACAGAAAGCCTGAGAAAGCTTGGAAAAGAATAGTGTAAAGCATGTTTTGTTGGTAGCAGCAATTTCTTGGGTCTGCTCTGCTTGCTAGAGGCAAGCAAATGCTCTCATCTAAGAGAGGCTTCCTGACTCAGCTTTAGCTGCAAAACCCCGTAGCTCTTTAAAGAGGTCCTGCCATGAAACGCTTAAATGGTGTTGACAAAAAGCTGAACGCATGCTTTTCAGTTGTCGTAGCAGGAAAAAAGCTGTGCCATTTTAAAATGCTGGCTTTCTGGGTTGTCCTGCCAGGGCAAACTCTGACTCTTTCAGGTAGGTGGTCTGACTGAGTGTGGTCTGTGAGCAGAATGCTGCAGCTTGCTGGCAAGGACCTTGAAACACCATAGAGCTGTGGCAGTGAACACAGCTCTGGCTGGTACCTCAGCCACGAGGCTGGAAAGCTAAGGAATGGGCTGGATCTAGCCGTCAAAGCCATAGCTTTCATCCTCTTTTTAAAGACTCAAGTGGTCAGAAAAAGAGAGATATACAGTAAAGAGAGATTCAAAGAGGAAGAAAACCTCTAAATAGTTTACAGTGTGTTAAAAATATACGCAGGCTAAAGGTTAAAGTCATTAAAAATAAAAAAGAAAGAAAGGGAGAAATAGGGTGTGGTGGTACACATCTTTAATCCCAATGCCTGGGAGGCAGAGGTGTATTGACCTTTGTGACTTCAAGGGGCAGAGGTAGATTGACCTCTTTGACTTCAAGGTGTGGTAGTGCATACCTTTAATCCCAATGCCTGGGAGGCAGAGACAGACAGATCTCTGTGAGTTCAAGGTGTGGTAGCAAACACCTTTAATCCCAGAACTGGGGAGGCTGAGACAGAGGGATCTCTGTGAGTTCAAGGACAGCCTGGTCTACAGAGTTATTCCAGGACAAAGATATACAGAGAACTTGTCTCAAAAGTTAAAAGTAAAAATAAAAGAAATAGAGGTTGAAATAAAGCTGCATAAAGATGGAAAATACACAGAGAATCTTGATACTGTATGCTATTATGCTCTCTTTGAATTGTTTGAATGCTAAGGAAGGAGCAACAGCTGCTAAAGGACTGTTGTTTATAAATACTGCTGAACTAACCCAAGATAGGTATTTTGAAAATACCTTGGCTTCAAAATTGAAGTCAAAAGGTATGTTACTTTGGAGAAGAGATTCTGCTTTTGTTTCCACAGAAGACGAGAGGCTCTGTATTTATTCAGAGTTAAGAAAAATCACCTTTGACCAAGGGAGGCCACCTGAAAAATCTCCGACAGGAATAGATGGCCCAGATGTCTGAGTTTTACATCCAGAACAGATTCAAGTCTGCTGCCTGAGATGATCAAGACTCACAGGATACTTCAGTCAGGACTTGATTATAACTCGAAATTTTCTTTAGGTCCCCATAAGATCATCAGCGCCCCTAACCAGCAGGAAGTAGCCTGAAATACTACGCCCACATTCCCAACAAATGGACTATGGGTATTTTCCTTTGTTTAAAAAAAAAAGAGGGAAATGGTGTGGGAGAATTGTCTGTATTCTGTCAATCATATTTTAATAAAACACTGATTGGCCAGGCAGGCAGTATAGGCGGGAAAGCCAGACAGGAAGTAGGGGTGGAGCAAAGAGACTGGGAGCATTCTGGAAGCAGAAGCTCCCTCGGCCACTCCTGTGTAGACCACCGAAGAGGCAGCATGTAACTTGCCCAGCTGAGAAAGGTATGGAGCCATGTGCTAATGAAGATAAGGATAATGGGGTAACATAAGTTATAAGAGTTAATAAGAAGCCTGACCTAATGGGCCAATCAGTTTATAACCTAATGTAGACTCTGTGTTATTTTCTTGGGGTTTGCCGGCTGTGTGGTACCAGGCGGGATGGAAACCCCAACAAGCCGGCCCCCTCATGTTACATAACGTAAAGGCTACTGGTAGTGGAATTCCTACAGCAGTCATTTTTTCTCCTGTAAGCAACACATCAACAATACTCATAAAAGAACCACAGTAAAAGTAAATCCCATTGGTTCACCAAATTGGAATTTAGTTAGATCTGAACTGGGGTGAGTAGATATTTTATTCACATCTCATCAAGAATATTGTAATGCCACACAGATAGAGGATGGGTCCAGTCTACTGTGTACAGGTAGATTTGACACTGTTACTCTCATCTTTGTTGCAAAGCGTTTGTAGATTATATAAATTGAAACTTTAGGTCTATATAAGATACAATTACCTGTCTCTTACTATTAAATAAAAGTCATGATTTTCTTCTCTCTGAGTCTGTTTTGTTTTATGTAAGGACACTATTGATAAAGTGTTCTATAAGGGGGATAAATGTAATGTTCACAGATCTACAAGCTTGGGAATCCAAGACCAAACCTTCAGCATTTGATAAAGGTTTCTTCCTGTATCTTTGTTACAGGATCTGGTGGTGGTCAAGGTCTAAGCCATGTTTTTTCCAAAATCGTCCCCTTTTATTCAAAGATTTGGTATAAAGGCTCACACAGATTTTAAAGAATCCGTGAAATTTTACTCAAAGCACAGTGGCCGTACAGAGCAGACAGGAATATGTATGAAGAGCAACAGTGGTCACATGAGGAAAGCTGCTCAAGGGTCCCAGTTATTGTTCAGAGCCACTTTCATGGGGTTCAGAAGAAGGAGTTGGGGTGCTGTGGGGATGTGACACAGGAGGATCATCATTTCTACTGGCAGGCTTATATTAGGTAGGAATTTACTTCCTGAGCAGGTCCATTCAACACAGTATTTTGTGGGATTATATACATGCAATTATACATAGGAGGAAGATGGTCAACATGATATTCATCATAAAAGTTCCTTGTGAGGAACAGTTTGTCTTGTTGTGCATGTACCTGAACTAGTCCAGTCTGGATCAGATCCTCTTTCTTGGTATCAAAAAGATTTTGTGAAATATTTGAATATAAATAATTCATGAAGGTATTTCTAAGGGCAGCAATCATTTTCATTGTTTCCAACACAACCACACACACACGCACACACACACACACACACACACACACACACACACACACACACACATATAGTGACCTGATGTATGTGGGTGTCCATGTGGTCCATAGGCTTCAGATAAATTGGTAGAAGAATGTTAGAACACAAGAGACGCAGATAATGATCTCTGGCTGGAAAGTGCAACTGTGGTTATCAAACAAGTAAAGTGGAGTGTGAATTCAAGGCTGAATTCAACCTTCTCCTGTGTCTTTTATTAATGCCTTTAGTTTTCTGGGGTGGATACAGACTACTTGTTCTTTGGCATGCTTGGTCTTTAACATCACATGTGAAGCTTGTATTCTATACTTTTTATTTTACAGCAACTCTAAAATGGCTAAAAGATATTCCCAAAGGAAGCACTGCTTTATCAAAATGTGGTTTCATTTTTAAGTTTTATATGTAAAACTTATAGATTAACAAGTATAAAGTTATTGATAGAAAGCATAGAACTTAAATCATTAAAGGTGTATAAAGAATAAAAGAAATCACTATTTCCTAGAATTAAGAGCAGGTCTGGTGGTGGAGGTGCAGGCCTTTAATCCTGGAACTCAGGAGGCTGAGGCAGGTAGCTCTCTGAGTTCATGGCCAGCATGGTCTACAAAGTGATTTCCAGGACCACAATGACTAAACAGAGAGATACTGTCTTGAAAAATCAAAACAAAAAGAGCTGGCTTTCATAGGTATGGTATTGCAACAGTTCATATATACACGTATTTTCAGGACTTGGATCTTATCTCCATAAACAGTATCCTTGGCATCCAGGTTTTCTGATCTGAATCAGGCTTGAGGGAGTTTCTTTCTGATATTGACAACCTTGAAGAAGAAGATGATGAGGTCAGATCAAGTGAAATTCAAATGGCTCCAAACACTCTCTACATTCATACTGACGTGTTCCTATGGGTCACATCCCATTTCTCACTGGTCTATCTCCTTAAATAACTCTCTGTCCATGGAGTCAGCTTTTGTCCCTTCTTGGGACTATGAGAGTAGCTAGTAACTCCTACAGACTTGAGCACAGGTGGAAGGCCCGGTTATGACACAGAGCTCCAGAGGAGAGGAAAGAGCTGCCATCCCTTAAGTAGAGATTGAGCTGCAGAGTCTCATTGAACAGGCAGGGTGGGAGGAGGGAGAAAGGACTTTGCTGTTGCAGCTGTCATGGGGGAAGGTTTGAAACTTTGGCTGGTGGTCTGAGAGCCATGGTGCTGTAAGAGGTTTTCTATGTGAACGAGCATGTGATCCCTTCTATTTCTTCCGTTCCTGTGGTAATAGTGGCCTTTTTTAAAGTGTAAAATGAATCCCACACAATGTGTGAGTATGAAAAAGATTGTGGATTTTAGCACATTGTGGTCTGATGTGCCCAGGGCATTCTTGGGAACTTATGGTTTCTGTACATTATGCTCTGCAACAGACAGTATTTAAATATTATAGATGAGGCTCCAAGGTTCTTTGTGTTTTAGTCTTTGCTCAATTTGAAAAATCAGAGTCAGAATATGAAACAAACATCTTAATTAACCTGAGTTTTCTCAAATTATCTCTCTGCTTTTATAAATGAGATACTTTTTTGTCATTTAGCTAAACATATAACAACTTTTGAATTTATGTCATTTATTATGATTTAGAAAAATTTACTTAAAAGATACTGGAAGGAATTTTATTATTAAATGTGAAAAGTTTAATTTTTATTCTCATGTTGGACTATCTATGTAATACCAACAGTCAAGCACACACTATATATATATATATGAAATTAGATATATGAATGATTCTTAGTAATATTAAATTACAGAGCACATACCTGCATGTTACTGTGTCTTACAGACTTCAGCTGTGGTTTATCTTCGCTTGAGGACAATTCAAAACAGATGAGTCGAAGTTTTTGGTCTGGCTCACACTTTATACTGGTCAGTCTTCCATAGACCACCACTTCCATTGTCCCTGTATCATCTTCAATTCCATAGTAAATGAAGGAATTCCTCTCTGTTTTCTGAAAAGCAAGTTAACAGTCATCTTTTAGGAAAGGTGTCAAAGCTTGTCACCTCTATGAGGAATAAAGAGTGTCAGCATAAACCTGTTCCTGCCAAGGCAAGGATGACTCTTAGGTTTAGAATCACAGGCACAAGGGCCAGTGAGATGGCTCAGTGGGAAAGGGGGCTTGCTGCCAAGCCTGATTCCCTGGGCTCAATAAGCAGGACTCATGGTAGAAGGAGAACTCACTTGTGGAGCTTCTGTCCTGACTTCCACACTGCTTTAAAGATTTTTGTGTTTCTTCCCATCCCTCACAGACAAAATAAATAAATGAAAAAAGGTTGTCAGGAACAAGAGAGCTTAAGATGTTTTAGTGAACAAATCTTTTCTTTGAACTCCCTCTTGAAGCCTTGTGGGCCGAGCCTTAATGATTGAGTCATCTCTGCAGCCCTTGGAAGCCACTCTCCTGTTTTACCTTCTTGATGATTTTTTCTGCTTGGTGTTTTGAGGGGAAAAAATGAATATCTTTCTAAGTACAATGGTAACATATAAGAGTATCTGAGATTTCTTAAGGGACAATAAATAAAAACAAGAATAAAAACAGTAATAACTGTTTTGTTACCATTGCAGGTTTCTTAGGTATCTCTAGGAGGCATGAGAAGAAAGGCTACTTGTGGCTCATTGTCAGTCTGAGAAACACTATTGTAAGTCTTTTTTATTTAATGTATTTTAAATTTTATTGAAAATAAATTTATTTTCATGAAACATAATCTGATCATAATTTTCCCTTCCCTACTCCTCCTAGATTATCCTCACCTTCCTACCCTTCCCATTCCGCAGCTTCTTTCTCTCTCTCTTAAGAAAACAAACAGGTGAATAAAGAAGAAAACCAACAAGAATGAAACAAAAGGAACACACTAACAGAAATAAGATAGGATGAGAAACAAATACATGGACATACAAATAGGGACTAACAGAGAGAAAGACTGATACACTCACTCACTCACTCACTCACCACACACACACACACACACACACACACACACACACACACACACTTCTTTTGTAAATGGATCACATTTGCTCAGTGCACACACACACACATCGTTCACTCTACTCCTTCCTAACCCCTCATAGGTTGAATCTACAGCTTTTAGTTCTGGAGTTTAAATTCGTGGCCCGCTTAGTTTACTTATTAATTGCGTAACCAAATTCACCAGCACAGTCAAAAACAGCATAGATAAAAGTAAAAAGCCATGACTGATTCATAAACAATGAATTATGAAATCATACACTTAACAAGTATACTAATGAATTGGTGCATCGGTGCTCAAAGAAACACCAGAAAGTCTTAGATTTTCTAGAATTTCCTCACTTGCATTGTGCCTAGTTATAAACTGTGAAATTAAACTAGACTGTTAAACTCTTCTTCCTTTCATTGTTTAAAACGTTAGTCACCCTATCAAAAGGGCTTGATACAATGTCAAGAATATTATAATGAGAACACATTAAAGAAATAATCTTGGCTTGTTGGTCATGGTCAAACTAGAGCAGAATAGTCTCTTGTTTTTATTCTCATCCTCTCAAAATGTATGTAGGCTTTGAGTTTGACTGTTTTGGCAACTGTGTTGCCAATAATATGGGTACGGAAGCTATCAAAGATATAGAATCTAAAAGGAAAGTGTGCTATAAACTAAACATTGTCTAGGAATAAGATGAATATAATTGATTGTCATAGCCAGAAAAAAGTCGAAGTTATTTATGAATCGATTTCTAAAGATTTTTCATGGTTTTACCTTGTAGAGAAGAATGATAAGAGACTCCCAATCCCCAAATGAGGAAACCATATTCATAACTTTCTAATATGAAGAACAGTTACTTCCTGTGTTAAATAAGTTGAGCAAATTCCAGTGACAAGTTATAACTTAAAATCCCAAACTGCAAAAGTAATTTCCAAAGTATCATAATGGCTTACCTCATATACCACAAACTCTCCATTCACATATGTCCCCTGTGCCTGTGAGATAAGATCTTTAATTTTAGGAGTTGCATTAGCTCTTCGCTTCAGTGTTTTTGGGATATCCATCATTCTGTTCTTTTCTACATCAGACACACAGGAAGCTTGGTATATCTCCAGAAACCCATTTAAGCCAAAATAATTTGATATGGCAATGATCTTATTTGGAATGAACTTGTTCTTTAGAACTGGGTCAAAAATCTTCACTCTGAAGAATTCATTCTCAGTTGCCACAGTGGCATGGAACATCATTTTGCCATCATTCAAATCATAAGTAAATGGTTCTGTTACTTTCAAAACCATCACTTCTTTTGCATCTCTATGGTGACCTTCTTCTTTAGCAGGGTCCTTGGGTATGTTTCCCTTCCTTGGTGTCTACATAAAACACACACAGGATAAACATGCATAATTCAGACAGATCGTAAGGCACAATTCCACTGAGTACAGTGGAGACCATCTAAGCAATGATCGCCATACTATAATCTAGATAAAGTGAAAAATTGATATTTGCCTGAATTATTATCTAGTTATTCTAGTTAATATGAATGTTACTCGGTAGATGAAGGGATTATACTTGTAATTGTGGGGACTGAACTCAAAGCCTCCAATGCTCTAGCCAAGATTTCATTCTCGGAACATTTGGAAGAGTTTGATTACAAAACCCGTAGTAAATATTAGAGCTTTATTGTAATACGGATAGGTAGGCAGTCTAGGAAGATACCCTCAAATATTGCTACTCAGAAAGGGTTCATGCTAGTGGCTCTTCTTTTTCTATACAGGATGAAGGAAAATCCTGGGACCAGAAAATGTTCATGAGGTCATTTTACTTTGATCACCTGCCTTCTCAGTATCCTACTCCATTTCTGAGCATCAGGAGAGCACTTTGAAATGGAGGCAACACTGTAGAACTGGAAGAGGAAGCATGAGGACAGTCATGGCCGACCTGGGTACCAACACAGGGAGGCAGCTATAACTGAAGCCCTCTCTGACCCTTGACTTGGAAACATGCAGACTTCACTCTGTGGGTGATGAGGCTTAACTGTGATTACCAACTGATGTGTTCTAACATCAAGAAGTACATTTCCAATATAATTACAGCAGCGATTCACAATCTGAAAACAACACCTTGAATAATTATAATGTGCAAAATTAAATAATGCACGTGACTCAGCATACTCTTTACAGAGTAGGCATGATCAGGTGATCACTGAGTCAGATATTTTCTTAATGGAGTAGAATATACGAAGTATTCTAAAATTGAATGTAGGGAAGGATCAGTAACTATACACAATAAAAATAGTGATTATTTAAGTAAAAGATTATGTGTCCATATAGATTAATGAAGAATTCTTGCAAGCATGTGCTAATCTTTGTCATTATACTATGAGAGTAGGAAGCCATTACCACGCATGGGCTGCTGCTTGTAGTTGCTGGAGACCCCACTGGAGCCAGGAGACTTTTGGATGCTGTTGGTGGAGATGTACTTGGAGCTATGAGACTTTCAGATGTTGTTGCTGACGGCATCTGAGGAGCCAGGGCACACCTAGGTGCTTTTACTTTAGGACAGGGAAGAGCCTGACCAGTATTGGATGCTACTCCTTGATGTTTTTGAATGGCGCACACCATTCCGGACATGGTCAGTGGAGGAGCATGAGGAGCCTGGGTGAAGCTGGATGCTGCTGCTGGATGCATTTGAGTGGTCTGGACTCTACTTGTAGCGATTGACCTAGGCACCCGAGGATCTGGAAGGCTGTTGGATGTTGTTAGTGGAAGAATCTGGAGACTAGTAGAAGCTGTTGCTGGAGATGGCAAAGAAGTCAGGAAATAAACAGGTACGGTTGCTAAGGGACCTGGGACCTGAGCATTCCCAGGTACATTGACTCTAGCAGGGTTAAGAGTCTGAATGCTACTGCATGTTGTTCTTTGAGGCCCCTGAGTGGTGCAGACATTTCTGGACACTGCTCCCGGAAGAGCATGGCGCCCCTGAACACTGCTGGATCGTTTTGCTGGAGGCACCTGTGTAGAAGGCCGCAACCACACTCTCCACCATAGATGGCGCTGCACCACCAGGTGAGCTAGAAAGCTCACACGTGTTGGTATTTTTCCACTACTCCCAAGGTATCACCTGGGACTGGGAGCAGTTAACCAATCCAAGAATGACACGTCCAAAGCAGGGTCTGTTTCCTATATAAGGGATGGGTTCCATCTTATCTGGGTCTCCGCCATGTGGCTTATGCTCTAGCTCCCAAGAGACATAAAGCTTTTCTGCAGAAGGATCCTGTGTGTACCGCGTGGTTCTTGCTGGCGAGACGGTAGCGCGGGACACACCTGAACACCGCTGGATCCTGTTGCTGGAGGCACCTGAACACTGCTGGATCCTGTTGATGGAGGCGTCTTTATGACCTGGACTTTGCTTTTTAATGTTGCAGGTACTCTAGGGGTTTGGGCACTTCTGGATGCTACTGTTTGAGGATGGTGAAGAGTCTGCATGCTATTGAATGCTGCTGTTGTAGGTAGGTGAAGGTTCTGGGCACCGATGGACACTGATACTGGAGACATCTGTGGAGCACTGAGAGAACTGGACACTGTTTCTGAAGGCACAGTAGGGACCCAGACCTTACTGGAGGCTGCTGCTGAAGGTACATAAAGAGTTTGGACAACATTGGATAGTGTTAGAGTCATAGAAGAGTTCAGATGGATGCTAGAGTCTGATACTGGAGATACTGGAAAACTTTGGCAGGGTGGTGCTGGAGAGCCTTGAGATGTTTTCAAAGAGTCGCATGTTTCTGGAGGTGTCTGAGGAGTGTGGAGGCTGCTAGAAGCTGTTGCCGTGGGCCCCTGAAGAGTCTGGCATTCCCATGCAGCTGAGGAGTTGCTGGTTGCTGACAATCCTAGAAGCTGGTGTTTTTGCTGGGAATCGTCTGTCTTTAGAGTACTCTGTTTTTTGGTGTTCGTGGTTTTCTGTTTCTAAAGAAAAATAGGATTGAGATATTTTTAATACTGTTTACTGGTTTTTGCAAATGAGACCAAGTGCTTCTATTCACTTTCCCTTCTGTAACGAGAACTTTTACTCTGCAACCTTGCTCCTGGGATGATGGAATTGTTTTAGAACATACTTCTAACAGCTAGCCTTCACTCTTACTATTAGATGTTACAACTTCTCTTAAAAGTCCGGTATTGAATTTTCTCTGCTCTGGGATGGAATACTAGCTCAAAGTATCTTACAAAACTGGCCAAATATTTCTTGGTATGGTTCAATTCTCAGTATTATTTCATGGGAAACTAAGCATGTAGTAAAATTGGCTATTTCTGTACTTTTCTTCATGTAGACTTTCCAATCCATCAAATATTTGATATTTAGTCTGCACACAGGGAGCCAACCTCCACATACCTTCAGATGATGTGATGGAAATTGTGTGACAGGTATGCTAAAACTGATCCACTTAGATGGATTTTTTGAATTATGATGGAGCTTAGTTGACAGAGTAACTAAGATGCCTGAAGCCCATCTGGGCTCATTGTTTAGGTCTTTAAAATGACCATGACTGCAGGTAAATACAACTTCAACATATGTGAGAACTACTTGTACTTCAGGCAACAGATCTGGTTAGAGCATTCACTACACTTTCATAATCTTAACAGTATAAAACTGCAGCACGATTAATAAAAAACACAGAGACAGAAACTGGGGTTCAACCTGAAGGCCAGAAAAACAAAACGGCCAGCCACTGACTCTTACCTCTACTTCAGTTGAAATGGTTACCCAGCCTCCAGAAATCTCAGAATGAGACTGTCAGAGAGCTGTCTCCTCCTGTTTTATAGTCTTCTCCAGTGCTGGGATTAATGGCATGCACCACTACTGCCCACACTAGTGTGGCTACTGGGATTAAAGGTGTGTGTCACCACTGCCTGGTCTTTAAGACTGATCAGTGTGGCTGTTTTACTCTCTGAACTTCAGGCAACTTTATTTACTAAAATACAATGAAATGTCACTACAAAAAAAATTTAAAGACTATAAATTTTGCTTTAAAAGCGAGTGAAAGTTAGTATGCAAATACCTTCGTATAACTGTGAAGGTCATTTTTTACTGGTTTCTCTTTATTGTTTTGATCATCCAAGGGAAAAGTCTTCTAAAATTCAACAGTTACTGTGAAGCTGATGCCATTCTAGCCAAAATGTTTACTAGCTATAGTCTATTTTCTAGACTTCTGTACATATCAATTATATTGTTGTCGTCATTTACAAACACAGTTAATTAGATGTACCAAAGGAGTTTCCATGCTAAGTAATAGGACTCTATCACTTAAAATGAACAAATGTTGGTCATATCAAGGGTTCAGTACAATTGTGCCATGCAAGAAAATAAGGACATTTCTGTAAAATGCAGTCAAAATACATGCATGATGAATGTGCGACATATACAATAAAGTACATGATTAAGAGGTTAGTCCTTTCAAGGTTATGGTTGTTGCAATTATATTAAGAAGGCATCAAACTGGGAACAGGAATCCATTCCCTTTGATGAGGAATGTCTGGGAGAATTTAGTGTATGCCTGGGAGGGGTCTGAATCTGACTTGTAGTAAAAATGACCACTTCAGTTCTACAGTATTTGGTTAGTGATGGACAGGGATAAAGACTTCAAGGCAGGGAAACAGCATGCATCAAAAAAAAAAAAACATGCTAAGAGGAACACAGAATGATGAGGATAACCCCTAAAGCTGGATCACCAGCAAAGGGAAAAGGGCTGAGAAGAAAGTAGGCACTGGGGATTGATATATTCCAGTGTTCATCTCTCTCTGTCTCCCCTATACTTCCTTCTGAACCCTAAGCAGAAAGTTGATTGACAGCTGTAGAAATCATTGCATAAGTACTTACCTTTTCAATACCACAGAGGCTGTGATACATGATTAGATGATGAGCTGTTTACTAACATGAGGAATATCTTTGTAGTACGGGATCAGTGAGACGTTTTTCCAAGGCTGTGGTGAGCCCAGTGATACACTTCGGGAAGGGGCAAGCACTGGTAATAGGAAAGTGGTACCTTGTTGGAGGAATTGCTGGATGATGTTGGTGGAGGCTTCTGAGGAGTCTGGGAACAACTTTCATCTTTCTGTGTGTTGCTTCCTGAAGGTTCTAGAAGCTGAGTCTGTTCCTGGGTAAGCTTCCTTTTTTTTGCCACTTTCAGTTTTCACAGTTTGTTTTTCCTTTTTCAGAAAGAACAATGTTTTTCTTTATTAATTTACCCATGTACTGAAAATTTAACCCGAAGCTTTGTACATGCTAAGTTGTGCTTTTCTATACAGTTTTATCCCCACTCTTTAGTAATGTGTTTAGTGTAAGGTAACACATAATATCCTCAGAACCACAAGAATCTTTTGCTTACTATAAAGTTCTAATTATAGTTCTTTGTCATTGTGCATACCTCATTCTGAAAAGATGGATTGTACATTGTGGTGGTTTGAGTAAGAATGACACCATAGACTCACAGATTTGAATGCTTCTTCTCCAGGGAGTGTCAGTACTAGGAGGTATGGCCTTGTTGGGGTAGGTGTACTTTGTTGGAGAAAGTGTGTCACTGAGGTTTCAGATGACCAAGCCAGGCCCAGTGTCCTTCTCTGTTACTGCTACCTATGAAGATGTAGAACTCTCAGCTAGCTCTCCAGCACAATGTCTGCCTGCATCCTGCCATGCTTCCCACCATGGTATTAATGGACTAACCCTCTGAATTTAAGCAAGCACCAAATAAATGTCCTTTTTTTAAAAGAAAAAATAAGAACTGCTGTAGTCATGACATCTCTTCAGAGTAATTGGAACCCTAGCTAAGATATGTAACAGTGCCTCATAGAGGAGTAGAAAAACTTCATTAATCTCACCCCATTTATTCTTGTGGTATCAGAAGAGTATTGGGTGCAGAAATACATAGTCCATATTTAGGATGAATCTTTTAAGAGCAACATCCCAAAACAACTGCTATTTCAGTAAGCAGTCTTTAAAAGGCCAGATAGTGATTTTTTGTTTGCATCCTTGGCTGGGGGATCATACTGCACCAGTTAGAGCACATGGTAAATATGACACACGAGTGACAGATCATGATGAATATGTTGACTTCAAATCTCATTCTCACAGAGCCTTGGACTAGATAGGTACAGTCCTACGTACTCCTAAAGAATTATGAAGGGGTAGTACCTGAGTGGAAACAATGTTGGGCAATTAGAAACCTTACCTCTGAAGAGGGTGCATTGTTGGAGGAAAGAGCCTGGGAACTGCTGGGCTCCCCTTGCTTTCCTTCCACTGCAGTTTTGTTCTTTCTCTTCTTTGGTTTTTCAACTATACGGTTAAAGGAATCACAGTAAATCTATGGAAATGGGTGAAAATGGCTGAAGCTCATTAAGAATTATTTATTTTCCTTTTGGTTTTCAAAACTGAAACGGATAGTTTATTCAACTTTTATTAATGATTTTACAGAAAGACAACGATTTCATGTTGGTTTTAACAAAGCCTCAACCATTTAGTTTTACCAATAAAGACTCAGGAGCCAGATGTTGGGGTGAAAGCCTGCTAGCTCACAGAAACAGAGAAAGGATCCAGCTGATCTTCCTAGTTCACAGGCATCCCATGCTCACCCTTTTCCTGTATCAACTCAAACTAAAACATCTCAACCTCAGTGTCCCTCACTTCTACATCCAGTGCTTCTCTCTAACCATCATGCTAACTCTCTCTTATTCTTACTGCTTTTTTCTTAAAAATTCTATGTACGCTTCCTGTCAACTGGTTGCTTGCTCTGACTCTTGACTTCTCATTGACCTTATTTAATCCTGTTTACAATATTCAAGCAGAAAGCTCTTAGATTAAAAGTGTGTACTAGGGTTGAGCCATAACAAACCTGGAAATAGTTTTTTTTTAAAAAAAAAAAACAGTAAATAACACAATTTCCAGGTGGAAACTGTGATCAAATATCATTTAACAACGACAAGAACTATTTCATCTCTATTTGTGTCTGTGATTTTTCTTTCTTCTGCTGCAGAAACTCTACCTAGACAGAAGGCTATCAGTGGTACCCAGGCAGATATATTCACATCTCAGGGGATTTTTGTGCATCCCAGGTGTAGCAGAATCAGCTCTTCCATCTTGGGAACTTCTTCTCATATCAGTACAACCCTCTCCCCAACCGTCTTATCCCATAGATGGATTTTAAAATCATGAAACTTGTATGATAATACCAATAGGTTATGTTCTAAAGAAGATAATTCCAAATCATAGAAAAAGAGAAAGAATTATGATTTGATATTTGATATAACAAAATAGTAATATTGGATTTTGACTTCTATGTTGGGGATATATCTTTCTATGTAACTCAGAGTACTTTTTCTATGTAAGTCAATCCGCAGGTCTTTTTGACTGAGCCTCCTTATGCTAAATTCTTGGGTCAGAGTTATGTACTATTATTTCCAATATTTTTTGAAACCTAATGACTTTATAAAGAGGAACTATTTCACACCTTTTAAATGTTGGCATCTACTTAAATATTAAATCACATTTCTTACCAGAAAAGGTATTAATTAGAGGGTATGCATTGTTAATCAAGTATCAAATTTACTCTATTTAAATGCTTTAAATGAAGTTTTTCAATTTTTACTTTATCATTGTCTTGTTTTTCTATCACGTTGGGTATACTAATCTATCTCAACAACTGCTTTTTGATTCAGTTTCCTTCAAAGCAAAAGATGTCTACCCAGAAATACATCAAGTTTCTTGGTAAGAAAGGATTCTCAAATCATTAACTTGCTGACGTCAGAACAGCTTCCACCCCCATAGTTTCTAAGGTACACAATGAGAAAGGGACACATCAGTTCTGATCACTGCAGGGAGCTAGACATTTGGGAAGGGTGGGGAAAGGATGAGCATACAGGCAGCTTCCCCTTGTTACCTTTTGCCTTCTCTGCTTTAAGTTCTTCAACAAGGTATTTAAGATCTTTATTTTCTTCACAAAATCCTATCAGTTTGCTGAGTCCAGCATCTTTTGGGAATTTATCCTCCATCAGGTCAGCAATATGAATTCTGTCATAATCCTTCTGTATCCTTTCAGACAGGCATAGTTCTTTTCTTAGTAAGGACTTAATTATCCTAAAGTCGTAGTCTTCCATACGCTCTAATCCTTTTAGAAGAACAATTTCTTTGTATTTACTCATTATCCCTAATATTGTGGACAGTACTAAAAGATAAAAATGAGCATAGAATTACATACATATGCAGACAATTTCAAAACAACATTACTCCTGTGTGAGTGAATGACCAAAGTTGATAATGTCCATAATTGCATGTGCGAGAAAAACAGAAATACAAGCTGTGCCACCGTGCAAAAATGGATATAGAACTTCTGTATTAATAAATAACTTTAGGAAATCCTTCTCCAGTAGCCATGTTAGGTGACTTAGGCCAATGAAAGTTGTGGGGGAATAAAAGTGTTGGACTCAGTCATTGTTGCCATGTTTAGAGTTTGCACTATGAGTGTTAAAATCTTGTGTTCTTTTTCCATTTTTCTTTGGTGTCCACTCAAGGACACATGAGAGGAAAAAATGAAGACTATGAAGAAAAAGACAAACTCTGTAAGCCCTAATGTAATGGATTAATAAAATTGCTGCATGGTATTAAAATAGATCACCTACATATTCAAGGAGAAGATGAAAACTTCCATCCAAACACACACAGTGTTTCTCCTATACTTAGGACACCTCTCTCTACACTTGTTGCTATCCCTGTTGGTCATGGCACAGTACTGACAGCTCAAAATACTAGGGTCCCCATTGCACCTGGGTTATATCTTCATAAAGGACCCTTCATGGCCTTTCACAAAAGCAAGCCTCAGCTACTCCTTATGACCCGAGCAAGCCTGTTCCACCTGGGTGAGTCTTTCACATCACAAAGTTTGTCAGCACAAGGTACAGCCTGTTCCACTCTGGACCACAACTTCAGTTCTGTGTACTGACAGTGAGAAGACACTTCCCAGGTTACACGTCAGTAATGCTGGTCTCTTCTTAATCACAGCCAATTCTTCAGTATCAGCTGACAAGAATCACAGATTTGTAATTCAAAATATTGAGTCACCTTAGTAGTTTCTTTGTAGGATGCTTATCCTTCCTTCTGATGTTTCCAAGCCAGGCCTCCATCATCTGAACTGCCCTCTGCATTACCTTGTAAGTTCCCACAGTAGTCCATTAATTTCTAAACACGCAGTAGTTTTATATGCCAGAGTTACAAAGTTCATTCATAATCATTCCTAAAACACAGTCAGGTGTGTCACCATAATATCCCACATGACTAGTACCAATTTCTCTCTTAGTTACTTGTTCTATTGCTTCGATAAAACAACATGACCAAAATCAACTTGGGATGAAAGGGGTTCATGGCATTTTATATTTCTACATCACAGTTCTTTATTGAAAGAAGTCAGAACATTAATTAAAGGCTAGAACCTGGAGGTAGGAACCGAAGTAGAAGCCATGAGAAACACTGATTCCTTGCTTGATCCTCATGGCTTGCTCAGCACTCAGGACCACCTGCAGAAAAGCGGCAATGCTCCCAAAGGGTTACACACTCACATCAATCACTAATTAAGAATATGACTTCCATAAAGGGAGATGGTTAGAGAGAAGGGAGAAGGGGAAGATGGGGGATAGCTTTGGGGAATTGGATGGGGGGGGAGGAAGGAAGGATGGATATGGGAGCAGGGAAGTATATATCTCAACTAAGGGAGCCATTTTAGGGTTTGCAAGAGACTTGATTCTAGAGGGGTTCCCAGGTCCAAGGAGAGGTCCCAGATTGTTCCCTGGGCAGCAGAGGAGAGGATGCCTGAACTGGCCTTGGCTCATAACCATACTGATGAATATTTTTCATATCACCATAGAACCTTTATCTGGCGATGGATGGAGATAGAGACAGAGACCCACATTGGAACACTTAACTCCCTAGGTCCAAATGAGAAGCAGAAGGAGGGAGAACGTGAGCAAGGAAGTCAGGATCAGAGGGAACCTTCATCTGACGATGGATGGAGATTGAGACAGAGACCTACATTGGAGCACTGGACAGAGCCCCCAAGGTCCAAATGAGGAGCAGAAGGAGGGAGAACATGAACAAGGAAGTCAGGACCGCGAGGGGTGCATTCACCCACTGATACAAGGGGACTGATCTAATGAGAGCTCACCAAGGCCAGCTGGACTGGGACTGAACGAGCATGTGATCAAACCGGATTCTCTGAATGTGTCTGACATGGGGGCTGTCTGAGAAGCCATTGAAAATGGCATTGGGACTTGTTTCGTCTGCATGTACTAGCTTTTTGGGATCCTAGTCTGTTTGGATGCTCACCTTCCTAGACCTGGAGGGAGTGGGGAGGAACTTGAACTTCCCACAGGGCAGAAAACCCTGACTGTTCTTGGGACTGGAGAGGGAGGAGGAGAGGGAGTGTGGGGAGTGGGAGGGTATTGGGAGGAGGGGAGGAAGTGGAAATTTTTATAAATTAATAAAAAATAAATAAATAAAAGTACTTAATAGTAAAAAAACAAAACAAACAAAAGAATATGACTTCCATACCTGCTTACAATTTTAAAGGAAGCATTTTCTGAACTCAAGTATCTCTTTCTAGATAATTTTATCTTGTATCAGGTTAAGAAAAATCAACCAAAACATACCCTTAGAAAGAGATAATACATTAATTTTTGATTTATATACCAATAATAATGTATGGTATTTCTAAGCACTTTATGTCTCTTGATAGGACCATAATAAGTAGCGACACTGAATATCTTTTATCCAAATGACAAGAAGCACACATATCCTCATCATGTGCATGTGAAAGAGCCTACTAATCTGTGAGTTTGAAAAGACACAAATTATTTTGATATAAACAGCAATATACTTTAATTACTTACTTAATAAAGCATAAACATCTGCAAAATTATTTAGACTGCTTGAGAAACATAAGTGACTCACCAAGAAAGACAACCTTACATATATACATGTCTGAAATCAACTTCTAAAATACTCTACTCAAGTACACATTAAGAACTCCAAGGGTACATGGAAAGCATTTAAAAGATTCTAAAAATAGGCAATAGAGATATATTTCTAATTAGGATTCTCTCAGTCACCTATATTTTCTACCAGAAAATTAAAAAGCAAATTCAAATTATCTAAAACTAAAGATAACAAATAATGTTCAAGATGACAGAAACTAACTCACTGATTGAGACACTGCTGATGTAAAAGATAATAACTATTTTGGTGGATGATTAAAAACAGGGTTGAAGGGGATGGAAATAGGTAGGGAGGGGAGTAGAGAAAAATGTAGAGCTCAATAAAAATCAATAAAAAACAGATGTACGCGAATAGCTGTGAATCTGTAGAACTTCATACTATACACATCCATTGTCTCCCATGTCATGCATTTACAGAATTCTAGAGTGCAGCTCCATGTCCTGATATATTTTCACTGAGTAGTATTTCACAGTAATTCTTTGATGTCGCTAGCTTATTGTTTCTCTAGTCAATCACCACAGCCAGCAAGTTACTCTTACTCTCCAGCAAGATATATAAAATCTTATTCTTATTTTCCATTTTCTTATAATTATACTTAGAAAGTTATTTTATTATCTGCCATAATCAAAATGCCTTTTTGCTGGCTCAGGCCCCAGTAAGGGTGGAATAAAGATGCTTACCATCTTTCCTAGTGAAGCATCAGAACCTAGCTGCTGTGGGTTCATGGTCTTGAAAGCAGCTCTCACCAGCCCTGCTCCCTCCATTCTCCTCTGAAGGAGGCAGCGCTGATTTCCACCCTGCCCTTGTGGGTTCTATAGAGCTTTACATAACAAGTGCAGGACTCACCTTCTTAGAAATTTCTTCAGCAGTGTCCAGATCCTAACTTGTCTCCCAGGCAAGAAGCAGGGCTAGTTTTATTTGATTAAGATGACAAAACTCTCAGAGATTGGGCTGGGATGTTGCAATCCCCCAAGTGCCAAGAACATGAAGTATTTTTAAAGATGCGAAGTATGACAATGGTCTGAGTCATTTCACTTCACTTCAAGTTTAGCAAATTGAATGTCTTGAACTCTGTTATTCCCGGAAGAGGAGGATTACAAAAGTGAGGCCACCGAATGTTCTTAACTTTTGATTTCCCTGGCTAGTTGGACTGGATTGTCTTCCAAAGAATTCACTTTACTTACTAAGACAAGCAAAAGTCTCCTGTGTTCAGTTGATTTTCTTCACAAATGGATGTTCTAAACTTAGCATTTCATGTCCAACAGCCTTACCCATGGGTCACTAAGAGACATATTCCTCTGAATAAAGTTAACATCTGAAAATTTAGGGTGAGTCACTCAGACACTTCTCCCTCCTCTCCATCCAGGGAGGAAGTGGCAAGAGGTGAATTCAGCAGATGTCTATTGCCACCAAGAACTGAATGTATATCCTGGACAGAAGAAGATATTCCGTGTAGTGTAGGGTGAATTCTAAATGTTCTTAATAATAATTAAAAAAAAACGGATCAGATATAGGCTTGAATGCTGAAAGAGCAGAGAGACAAAGGAGTGAACCACAGCCACTTCTTAACTCTCCAATTCTTTCGCCAGAAATGGGTTAGCTCCTGTCTCCGCTAGCTTTCCATTCCTCTCTCTGTCCAGCCACATCACTTCCTGTTTTCTCATTCCAAGAGCTGAGATTAAAGGTGTGTGCCACCACCACCTGGACTCTATGAGTAGCTAGTGGCTAGCGCTGTACTCAGATCTCCAGGCAAGTTTTACTTGTCAAAGCACAAAATAATATCACTACATTTCCTGGTTTTTTGTCTAAAATAAAAAGAGCGATATAACTAATGTAAGAAAAACTATATATTGTAAGTACAATAACTTTATACAAAATATACCTTCAATAATACATCACTAATGTGTAGTCAATCAACAACTGACACATTCAGAGAAAATACTCTACATCTTTTCTATTTTGGTGAGTATAAAGGTTGTACAGAATTCACTATTCTAACTCACATTACCAACACTATCTTTTAATGTCTCTAAAATTTATACTCCTTTTAAAATCTATTTTTTAAAATAGTGTTTTCTCATTTTACATACCTATCCCTGGTCCCACTCCTCCCCTCTTTCCACTCCCCCACCTTACCCGCACTCCACACCCCGACCACTACTCAGAGAAGGTT